GCCAGCCAGCCAGACAGCCAGCCAGCCAGCCAGCCAGACAGCCAGACAGCCAGACAGCCAGACAGCCAGACAGCCAGACAGCCAGACAGCCAGACAGCCAGACAGCCAGCAGCCAGCCAGCCAGCCAGCCAGCCAGCCAGCCAGCCAGCCAGCCAGCCAGCCAGCCAGCCAGCCAGCCAGCCAGCCAGCCAGCCAGCCAGCCAGCCAGCCAGCAGCCAGCAGCAGCCAGCCAGCCAGCCAGCCAGCCAGCAGCCAGCCAGCCAGCCAGCCAGCCAGGGCAGCCAGCAGCCAGCCAGCCAGCAAGCCAGCCAGCCAGCCAGCAGCCAGCCAGCCAGCCAGCCAGCCATGCAGCCAGCCAGCCAGCCAGCCACAGCCAGCCAGCGCAGCCAGCAGCCAGCCAGCCAGCCAGCCAGCCAGCGCAGCCAGCGCAGCCAGCCAGCCAGCCAGCCAGCCAGCCAGCCAGCCAGCCACCCGCCAGCCAGCCAGCCAGCCAGCCAGCCAGCCAGCCAGCCAGCCCGCCAGCCCGCCAGCCAGCCAGCCAGCCAGCCAGCCAGCCAGCCAGCCAGCCAGCCAGCCAGCCAGCCAGCCAGCCAGCCAGCCAGCAGCCAGCCCCGCCAGCCAGCCAGCCAGCCAGCCAGCCAGCCAGCCAGCCCAGCCAGCCAGCCAGCCAGCCAGCCAGCCCGCCAAACCAGCCAGCCAGCCAGCCAGCCAGCCAGCAGCCAGCCAGCCAGCCAGCCAGCCAGCAGCCAGCCAGCCAGCCAGCCAGCCAGCCAGCCCCCAGCCAGCCAGCCAGCCAGCCAGCCAGCAGCCAGCCAGCCAGCCAGCCAGCCAGCCAGCCAGCCAGCAGCCAGCCAGCCAGCCAGCAGCCAGCAGCAGCCAGCCAGCCAGCCAGCCAGCCAGCCAGCCAGCCAGTCAGCCAGCCAGCCAGCCAGCAAGCCATTCTAGCAGCGAGCCACCCATGAGCAGCCACATCCACCAGCGCAGCTACTCAAGCAAGCCACTGTGTTGCCAAAGGCATTATCTAGATTTCTGAACTTTTAACCACGTTGTGGCCACATTCATCTCAGATGCCACTAACTCAAGGTCACGTCCTCCCTCTAAAAGGAGTTAATTCAACATAGCATTAACTGCAAACCAGGGTTTGCCGTGCTGTTGCTCTAGATGGCACTCAATTGAACGGAAAAGAAACCCATTTACTAAGTTTGGGTCCAAGAACTTTTTAAACTTCGCAAACTGAGTGTTAAGCCATTCTATACTGCTAGCCTATCCAGCAGGCGAAATTTGAAAGCAGGGAAAAATAAAACATTTATAGATTGGATGTCGAAGGTAAGAAGTATATCAAGCGTTTGAAGCTGTTAAAGGGTTAAGGTATTGTGAACACAAAGAACATTATCCACAGAAACAAAGAGGGGAATGCATAAAGTAGCACCAACGTTTTATATAGATGTGAAGCATGGGTCACGAATGTTGCAGCAAGGAGGTGGCTAGAGGCAGTGGAGATGCTTTGTCTGAGGGCAATGTGTGGTGTGAATATTATGCAGGGAATTTGCAGCTTGGAAACTATGAGGTGGTGTGGGGTTACTATAAGTATTATCCAGAAGGCTAAAGAGGGGTTGTTGAGATGATTAGGACATTCAGTGAAAATGAAACAAAATAGGACAACTTGGAGGATGTATCTGTACTTGAGGGAAGGGGAGTAAGGGATGTCCTAGAAAAGGTTGGAGGGAGGGGGGTAAAGAAGGTTTTTTGTGTGAGGGGCTTGGACATCCAGCAGGCATGTGTGAGCATGTTAGATAGGAGTGGAGGCAAGTAGTTTTTATTTACGAGTTGATGTGCTGTTGGAGTGTGAGCAAGGTAACATTTATAAAGGGATTCAGGGAAACCAGCTAGCTGGACTCAAGTCCTGGAGGTGGGAAGAGGGGATATTTGCAGTTTTGAACTGTAGTATTGGCCTGCCTCTAGCAAGATAGTGATGGAGCGAGTAATGGTGAAAGTGTTTCTTTTTTTTTTTAAGTTACCCTATCTCTGTGGGTGGCAGCCAAATGAGACACAGAGAGAGAGAGACAAAGACAGAGAGAGATGTGGGTGGCCTTACTGTTATGTATAAGGCCAACATTGTCAAAGTACCACACTTGGCTCCACTTCAAGGACAGAGAAACAAGCTTCTATACCACAAGGCGGGCAGAAAGCAGCAACTGCACTCTGGCTGTACCCTTCTCCAGAGCATCACTTCATCTGAGATCATTTATCCCTAGGATGCCTCGAGTCTGGAACACATTCGTACAGCATTATGATATCAACGAGATAAAGTCAGTTGATCAAATGAAAATGCTGGCCCACAGATAGCTCCAACTTCACCCTTTTCCTTACTTGTATGTTTCATAACAATGCTTTCAAATGAGATGATGTAGGTAACAGCTCTTAGCTTATAAATAAAGTTAGGAATCCTTAAGTTGTCAACAGCTTGTCAATAAAGCGAGGGATCGTTAACCTAACCTTGTCAAACCCTGTGTAAAAAAAGAGAGAGAGAGAGAGTCTGCCTCCTCCCTTGACCCAGTAGTGAGTGATCTGGCAGAAGGTATAGTCACTTGTCAACTCCTTGGCTTATACTGGATCATTTGACCACAAGGCTGTTTTTATGATACTTAAGATCCCAACAGAGCAAGGTGAGGAGTCCACACGCACAACCTGGCTATGGGAAAGAGGTAATTGGCCAGCCCTTTGCTTTGAACTCGCCACCACCAATTGGAATGCTCTACTCCAAGGGGATGCTGACAACCAAGTGAAAGCCTTCACTGGACACATCCTTAATCTACAACAAGAACACACCCATCACTGGCAGTATGTGATGAAGCCTACGGATCAGCCTTGGTTTGGCTTTCATTGTAGAGGGGCTGCTACTGCTAAGTACAAGGCATGGCAAAGGTATAAGAGACATCCTACCACCTATAACAGGAACTTGCGCAGGCAAGCCTGTAAGCATATGGATGAAGTTCAAAAGTGAGCCATTGCTAAATGGGAGGTGGACACAAAAAGAAAGCTAGCATGAGGTAGAGTAGGCTCCAAAACCTGGTGATCCCTGGTCAAGGACAGACAAGGTTATCTGCCTGATGAACTCATTCCACAGGATAGGACCACCTCTACTAGTAGTCCAGAGAAAGTGGACCCCTTTGCCGAACACTTGGCTACCAAAATGCAAGTTCCTGATCCAGCAAGGGGCCCTCCTTGGCTAGCTGCAAGAACTGTGTGAAAACTGTCAGTGGTGACAATAAGGCCCAGACAAGTTGAGCCCAAGATTGCTGAGAAGGTGTGCAGACCAGCTAGCAGCCCCTCTAACTCACATCTTTCAACACTACCTAGTACAGTGTAAATGGTCTTCTCTGTGGAAAGAGGCAAATGTAGTCCCTGTTCACAAAAAGAAGAGCAGAGCAGAAATCTGCAACTTCAGACCAGTGTCACTCCTGTCAATCACTGGTAAGATCCTTGAGACAATAATCTCAAGACAAATGAGAGAGTTTTTTGACTACCACTCACTACTTTGTGACTGTCAAAATGGCTTCAGGAAAGGTTACTCTGCTGCTGATCTGTTGTTAAACATCTCCACTAAATGGCACTAATCACTGGATGAATCCAAGGTCAGCTGTGTGGTAGCACTGGACATTGCTGGTGCTTTCTACCAAGTGTGGCACCAGGGCCTCTTGGCAAACTGCAAGCACTGGGAATTGCAGTCTCTACGCTACATCTCCTCAGTGATTACCTTCATGGCAGATCTCTAAGGGTAGTTCTCAATGGAAAAGAATCAGCAAGACATCCTATTGGGGTAGGTGTTCCACAAAGAAGTGTGCTGGGACCATTGTTATGTAATGTCTACTTCAATGACCTTCATCTCATCTCAGAATCCCATGCATATGCAGATGACTGTACTCTGACATTTGCTTATCCAAGAGAAGAAATGCCAGCTGCTCTAAGCTACATCAATCACCAGGTAAGAGCTATATCAGCTTGGGGAAACCGATGGCAAGTAACATTTTCACCTGAGAAAACACAAATGATGATGGTCTCTAGGCACCATGATGGTAATGCCAGAGCAGTAGTAAGGATGAATGGGAGAGTGTTGGTACCTGGGGAAGAAGTTGATATCCTTCGGGTGAAATCTGACTAAAGTGACCATGAAGAACCATGTTGTAAATCATGCAAACAAGGCAGCCATGAAGCTTACAGCACTTCGCCATATCTTGCATCTGCTTGACAGTAGGGGTTGGAAGATTCTGTATGAGGCACAGGTACACTCACACCTTGAGTATGCTCCACTTTCTTGGTTTGCCTGCCCCTTTCCCCCTTCCCCCATCTGCAACTGCTTGACAGAGTAGAGAACAGCAAGACGTCTCATCTCTCGCCTGGACCCATCCTGGATAGATCTGTCATTTCAGCAGAGCCTTCAACACAGGAGGGATGTAGGTGGCCTTTCTGTTATGTATAAGGCCAACATTGTCGAAGCACCACACTTGGCTCCACTTCAAGGACAGCGAGAAGCAAACTTCTATACCACAAGACAGGCAGAAAGCAGCAACTTCACTCTAGCTGTACCCTTCTCCAGAACATCACTTCATCTGAGATCACTTATCCCCAGGATGACTCGAGTCTGGAACACATTTGTACAGCATTATGATGTCAATGAGATAAAGTCAGTTGACCAAATGAAAATGCTGGCCCACAGATGGCTCCAACTTCATCCTGTTCCTTACTTGTATGTTTCATAACATTAAAAATGCTTTCAAATGAGCTGACGAAGGTAACAGCTCTTAGTTTGTCAATAAAGTTAGGAATCCTTACCTTGTAAATAGCTTGTCAATAAAGCTAGGGATCCTTAACCTAACCTTGTGAAACCCAATGTAAAAAAAAAAGACAGACAGAGAGACAGAGAGAGAAACTTTACTAACAAACTGATATAGAGTGGTCAAGTAAAAGGAACTTAATGTGTGAAGATGACCATTCCTTACCTTATATAAGGTGCAATCATCTCTTCAAATTCTTTATTTTCTTTATGTTCTCGTCTTTTCCAAATAGGTATTCTTCTTTCATCTTGAAATTTAAACCTGGATATGAAAAAACAATGTTAATTGAGAAAATAAGACACTAGATAAAACAAGGTCAAATGTCATAATCTTCACTCTCTTCTCCAGGGTACACATACATTAATCTATGATATATTTCGCCTCTCACCCTAAGTTAAGACTACAAATACTTCAAGGTAAGTAATGATTGTACTGTGTGTGTATTTTACTTTTATTGGTAACTTAATACATGTTAGTATAAACTTGTTATATGATATTTATATGTATTTGCAAGTGGAAAAAATGACATTCTGCTTTCCGGCAATGTCCACTTTCCAGCGGCAGCCTGGAACCTAACCTGCCGTATAACTGGGGCCTTACTGTACTTCCAAGTGTTCGAAAACTTGGGATCTAATGAAATAATTTAAAAACTCATGTCTAATGCAGCAAAGTATTTAAACTACTGGAACAGCATTTGATGTTTAACCCTTTCACTGTTGCTCATGATGACCTATGCAATCAAAGTGCCCTCAATTATGGTGTGACTGGAAAAGTTTGGCCTAGATATGAAAGAATGAATATGTGCTGTGGGTGTGTACTATATAAAAAAAAAAAACCTGCCCAAAGCAGAGCACAATAAGAACAGCTAACCTCTGACCTTATATTTGGTTTAAAACAGCCACTATGAAGCATGTTTTAAGGGTAGTTTTATGGGTATTTTGGGGTTTCTTGGTATCAATAGAATGGAAGGCATACTAGTGAAATGGAAATATTTTGGTCAGTTTTAGACTGTTAGCTGCAGAAATATTAAGTTAACCCTTTCAGGGTCGGCAGGCCCTCTCCCAAACCTCTTCTCAGGGGTCGGTAAATATTATGAAGAAAAGAAGAAGAAGAAGAAGAAGAAGAAGAAGAAGGAAGAAGAAGAAGAAGAAGAAGAAGAAGAAGAAGAAGAAGAAGAAGAAGAAGAAGAAGAAGAAGAAGAAGAAGAAGAAGAAGAAGAAGAAGAAGAAGAAGAAGAAGAAGAAGAAGAAGAAGAAGAAGAAGAAAGAAGAAGAAGAAGAAGAAGAAGAAGAAGAAGAAGAAGAAGAAGAAAGAAGAAGAGAAGAAGAAGAAGAAGAAGAAGAAAAAGAGAAGAAGAAGAAGAAGAAGAAGAAGAAGAAGAAGAAGAAGAAAAAAAAAATTTTCTTATGAAAAGATATTTTTTTTTTTTTCTAAATTCTATAGGCTAAATTTTTTTTTTTTTGCCATCAATACTTACGGAGATATGGGGGCATTAAATTGACAGAAACTGAACCGCATACGGCAAGATCACTGACTGCCGGTCATCAGTAATAGTTTTTGTTTTTTCTACTTTTTTCTTTTATTTTTTAATATTTTTTTTTTCAATTAACTTTTATGGCCGGTGAGACCAATATAAAGACTATTTGGTATATATTCACTCACTGTATACTATACAATAATAGCATAAACTTTGCTGTCATTATATTTACAAAACATGTTTACACAAACCAACGATAAAAAATGTTGTTTATTACTATTTTTCTATTATATATATATACTCATATAGAGTGACTGGACAGGTTCCTATAACTACAAGAGGTTCTGAAAGCTTGTAGTAGTGTGGGGGTGGACTTGTAAATATGCTGAGTCACCAGTGTGTCGTGTGTCACAATGATGCATCATACCACCACTCGCTAACCTCACTGCCTTCCACAACACATCCCTTCCTCCCCACACACCTACCTTCCTTCCTTCATTCCATCCTCTCATCTCTTCCTACCTACCTTCCCTCCTCCTTCCTCTCATCTCTTCCTACCTACTTTCCCTCGCTCCTTCCTTCCCTCCTTCCTTCTTTCCCTCCCTCCTTCCTTCCCTCCCTCCCTCCTTCCTTCCTTCCCTCCCTCCCTCCTTCCTTCCCTCCCTCCTTCCTTCCTTCCCTCCCTCCCTCCTTCCTTCCCTCCCTCCTTCCTTCAAGTAACTTTTCTGGCCTGCGAGACCAATAAAAGGTATATTAAATGTATATTCACTCCTTGTATGCTACACAATAACTGCACAGTTATTATATTGTTTACAAAACATGTTTACACAAAATGTTGTTTATTACTATTTTTCTGTCACATATATACACATATAAGTCACTGGACACTTCCCAGAACTGCTACAGCTTCTGTAAAGCTCATAGTTGTTGTGTGGGGGTGACACTAATTAGGCTGAGTCACCAGCCTAATTAGTGTCACAATGACAACTAACACCACCACTCGCCACCCTCACTGCCTGTCAACACCCATCCCTTCCTCCCCACCAACCCATATGGAAATAAATCACTGTCCGATTTTTTTGAGTTATCCTAGGTTGATGGTCTCCTTCCTTTCTTCCCTCCTTCCTTCCCTCATTCCTCTCATCTCTTCCTTTCTTCCTTCCTTCCTCTCATCTCTTCCTTCTTTCCTCCCTTTCTTCTACCTTCCTTCTTTCCTTCCTTCAGGTTGGTTTCTTGGGCATTGCTTTCGGTCACAAACTCCTCAAAACCATGAAGTTCATCTTCACTGACACTTCCATCTGTGTTTGAACTGTCACTTGGGAACAAAAGAGCCCCACTTAGTCAAGGAGTGAGGAGTTTCTTACCGCTAGACATGGTGAACAAGGTGTAATAAAATGGCTTTCCCACAATGCACCACTGGGTCCCCGATTTTTGTTTATACTGCACACACTGACCACGGAGACTTATTCTCTCACATCCAGGACTACCAGCCTTTTCCTGCTTGATTTGAGGGTGCTAGAATTTATGCGTACTAGTACAGCACCAACCCTGAAAGGGTTAATGGCAATTTATCTGATTCACTTTCCTCCCACTGGCCAGTTTTATGGGTTTTAATAGGTCTGTTTCAATTATTGGGATGGTCTACACCATGACCAATCATTCTTCGTTAGGTTTATTAGCCGCGAAACAGGGTAAAAACTTTACTTTTTCTGTGTTGAAGGATTCAAAATGGAGGACAAGCATCTTGGGAGAGAAGGGGCAAAAAGTATTATTCAGAGGGCTGAAGAGGGGTTATTGAAGTGGTTTTGGTCATTTAGAGTGGATGAAGCAAAATAAAATGACTTGCAAGGAGTACAAATCTGTAGTGGAGGAAAGGAGGGGTACAGGTCATCCCAGTTTTATATTAGATGTGTTTCAAGGTGTTTTAGCACTTCACACATTGCTCCATGGGAAAGTGGAACAGGATTCTTCCTTCGTAAACCATGCGTGTAATAAGAGGCAACTAACATGCCAAGTGCATGGGGCTAGTAACCCCTTCTGTAAACATTACTAACGTTTGAAAGAGAATTTTTTTTTTTTTTTTTTTTGGCCACCCTGTTTTAGTGGGATACAGCTGGTTTATTGAAAGAAAGAATGATGATGATATACAGTATGACTGGTTTTCATTCTATTTTTTATTTTATTTTACTATTTTGGTCTTCTAAGGCTATGTACAAGGAATACTTATAACATTGTAAGAGTTTCCCAGTGTAATACTCCTCAAAACATGGAAATAAGTTATACTGATTGACTTTACTGGTTCGCATATACAGTAGAACCCCTGGTCATGACCATAATTTGTTCCAAAACTCTGGTCGCGACCCGATCTGGTCATGACTCGAACCTAATTTCCCCATTGGATAGTATGTAAAAACGATTAATCCAATCCAGACACCTACGAACCGCATGTAAATACAGTGGAACCTCAACTTACGAGTTTCCCAACATACAAGTTTTTCGAGATACAAGCCATCGCTCGATCAATTTTTGCTCAGAGTTACGAGTCAACATCTGAGTTATGAGCGAGCTTCCCCTGCTTCCCCCTCAACCCACAAACCTCACTTGTTTATGATTTCATGCTTTAATTCCACAGACATCATCCTCTCTTTCTTCTCTGTACATGTGTATTGTCCTTTGCACTTACAGTAGACCCCTGGTTTTCGCAATTAACCCCTTGACTGTTGCAACCCCAAATCCTGAGGTGTCTCCTGGTGTCGCAAAATTTCTGGAAAAAAAAAAAAAAAAAAAAAAAAAAAAAAAGTTATTTTTTCTTATGAAATGTTAGAGAATCTTTTCCCGGGTGTAATGACACCAAAAGAATGAAATTTGATGGAACACTGATGGAATTACGCTCTCGCAAAGTTAGCAACCTCGGCGATATTTACGGATCGGCAATTTCGCCCACTTTGAGCCCTTTTTTCGGCTAATTCCATTGTTCCAGTCGACCAAACTCATAGCTATTTCTTTAGAACTCCATTTTTCTATCGGCTGAGTACAAGAAACTGCCCATTTACAGATTTCAACTAACCAATAAGTGGTCAGAAATTGGCAATTTGGCCAGTTTCATAAAAATTAAAAAATATGACAATTTCAAAATAGGGTCCAGAATGAACAATGCAGATATTCCTGGCTCTAAAATAACATTTTCTTTGTTCATCAGTCACGTCTCCAGGCCCCTCTGATATTACTCTTGCTTTCTATTTTGAATTTTTATTCAAACAAAAAATAGAAGATTTACTGTTATGCAGACTACTGCAATACTATTGTAATAATTGTATAAATAATGTGAACCCATTCATGAATGCATATTAGAATGGCTACTTGGACATCTGTTGGAAAATGACATCATTTGTTTACTTTTGAACATCGGCAAAAATCAAACATTTCCCCTACTTTGGGCTCCATTTCAAGGTTCTTTTCATAGTAAAATCAATCAAAATCACCTCTATTTCTATAATATGTTTTCCATTCTATGAAATGAGACCAAGAAAACAAGAATACAACCATAAATACTATACAAAAATAGACCACAAAGTTGGCATTTTAACCCTTTGACTGTTTCTGACGTATTTATACGCATAAATTCTAGCAGCTTCAAATCAAGCGGGAGAAAGTTGGTAGGCCTACATGAGAGAGAATGGGTCTGATTGGTGGGTGTGCACCCTGTGATAAAAATCTGGGACTCAGTGGTGCATTGTGGGAATGCCATCTTGGTAGTCCATTTTCACCATGCCTAGCAGTAAAA